CTATAGTATTATCACACAAATTAAAAAAGATTTTTTTGATTTTTTTGATTTTCTTAATAGTTTTTCTATTGGCGATAGAAAGCTTATCAATTTTTAGGACGACGGGGGATGGATCGATGGATGTGTATGTGTAACGGGGCTATGGAAAAATAACATATAAATGATATACACAACGGACCCGATACACTTTTAATCGYCATTAATATTCTTGCTACAAATTAATGGATTTAATATTTATAATAAATAATAATACACAATATGGCTACCCTGCGCTCAGGTGAGCGACGCGAGAGAAGAATAACCACTTTTGGGTTCAGGTGTATTCTTTACAGCTTTTTTAATAATAAATTCTTAACTTTTAAGCTTTTGTTATTAAATTATTATTATATAAATTATCGAAATGTTGTATTTAGATTATAAACATGTTAAAAGTTAAACATATTTTTTACTCTTAATAATTGATAAGTCTATCAATTAGGTATTAAATAAAACTTATCAAAGATACCTATATAGTTTTAGATTAATTTGGTAATTTTTAATGTAAGGGTTATCTAAGTTATTTGTAATCTTTAATAAAACGTGCGATTTGTTTTGTGTATACTTTCAAGTCTCCAACATTATAAATGGTATTCGATACAATTTGATTTTGACCATAATTTTTCTTAGCATTCCTCACTTTAAATTACTTGGTTGATTTGATTAAAAAACCCAATGTATTTAATTTTTATGTTTTTAGGCAAATATGCTCAACATGATGAAATTGAGTTGAAGAAAGGAGGTTTGATTTGAGGATTACAGTATTACACCAAAATATCGTATGACATCTAACTCAGGTCATTAGTTATTACCAATATAGTAAGCATATTAAATTTCAATCTTATTTCAGAGAAATGAGATTTGGTACACTTTGGAAATGTATATCAAGATCATTTAGGGTACATTATTCTATGAAACTATTTATCTTGTCTTGTAACATGGAGCAATCTGATTGACAAGAGATTGTATTGTAGGATATACTTTGAGGTCGTCAGAAAAAAGTTTAAATTTACAATGTGTAAAACAACTATTAATTTCAATTAAGAATACTAAGAATATCCATGGGGATATACATATATGACCTCCTCTAGTCCTCTCCTTGAAGTACATCAATATTATGATTCATAAGTTATAAAGAATTTAGATGAAAAATATCCTATAACCAATAGTTGAAAGCGGTTAATCGAATATAAATTGAATCAGTTTAAGAAATTTCCAGAAATACCAATTGAAACAAGAATGTCGTGATTCACTGTGTCAAACGATTTATGCATTAAAGTTTGAAAATATATTTTTACAAATTGCATTAAATAACAATTACATGCATTGAATGAAGACAATGAAGTTTGAAGTTATAATTTGTTTTAAATTACGACAAGTCGTTGACAAATATCAAATAAAGTAATCTATGATCAGTTTTTATTTTTTGCATACCCAACGAAAAATCAAATGTTCATATTTTTTGTGTCTTGTGTGCAACTACTGTATTGATTGTTTTGTTAATCCTTGGTAAACTACAAAATAATAGTCATAATAATATTATTAAAAAAATATGTCAAATTTATTGTATGTTTAAAAATTCATGGTAAAATAGTTAGATATTTATTTTTAATATATTAAAAATTAATTTTTAGATTTATAGTTTAATAGTATTGTGAAAGAATTATTTAAATTTAGATATTTATTTTTAATAATATTCAATAATATATATTGATAGATCTATAAATAAATGTTCAACAAAAACAACAAAAAATGTTTTCAAACAATAATTTTTACCGATTTACCGAGGCCGTTATGTCATAAAAATTAAATTTATTATAGTAKATATTATGTACTATTAATAAATTTAATCTACATATATGCGTGTTAATATCACCTTATTAATTTAGTCATAGTGGTACTATACATAAACAATGTTGATAAAGGATTGCAATACGGTTAATTTCCACCCTTATTGATAGACGAAATAGAATTCAAATTATACAGGTACGTATATATACATAGTTATGTAAAAAGTTTACAGCCAATGAAACAACTGAAAGATGAATATGCGCATTTTACTCACAATCACGCGGGACATTCAACTGTTACTGTGGTATAGTCATTCACGTACTCTGTAGTCTCAGGTAAGCACATTTTAACTTATTGTATACATTTTAGAACTTAAATCCTGATGAATGATTATTTTGCTTAATTATTATTCATAATTAAACTTCTTAATTTTGTTTCCTGCATTTCAGTTGTTTGATTAATTTAAATGTATTATATTTTTTGAGACGAGTTACATATTTATTTTTTTAGGAACATCTCCGCGTTGAACTAGTATCTACAAATCGGAGTATTATTCAAATCAATTTAATTAATAATGCATTAATATATTTATTTATTATTTTTCTTTTAATCTGTTTCGGTACCACATTATAATACCTACTTTAAGTGTATAATAAGAATTTAAATTGTTGTTTGCTAAAGTTTATGATGTGGTATATAATATTATAAAATTCATATAATTTAAACATTTTAATCTACGCTTTTATTATACTTATAAATCTAAATTATTTTATTGCAGATTAAACAAAAGATAAATATAATTTAAACACCCAAACGTAACCAACTATCAATTAACATATTTAACCGCTTTATCACAACCAGATAAATATAATTTAAACATATTATCACAGTAAACTGCTCTATTAATTTTTAATTTGTTTTTCAAAAATAGTATACCAATTAAGTTGATAGTATTTATAATATTTACATATACATATTGATTATAAATTGATAGTGAAGTAAAAAATTATACTTAAAATAATTTTTTATCAGTTTAAAAAAAATATGAACTACATTTTGATTATTCTGTAATTGTTAAATAAATATAATTTCAATAATTTTTATAGGAAAATATTATATGTAATTACTATAATTACTATTTACTATGCTATAATACTATATTCAGTACTTTTAAAAATATTGTTTGGAATATCAAATGTTGCTCAACAATAATTTTAAATTACACAACTTTGAAGTTTTTCAGATTCCAATTATATATATTGTATTATATCGTTTTATTTTTATTTTTTTGAAATTTTCTATTCATTCTATTGGTTTCATAACTGATTAGCTTTTTTTATTTACAAAATATAATATTTAAGTATTTAATCTTTAAAAATGTTGGTAGTTCGATTCTAACTAGATATATATATTACACTTATGTTATTGAAGTTGAAATGTTGGTCATTAAAACCAATAGTTGTTCCTAAAACTAGGTGGTACTTAATCTGGACAAAAGATACGCAAAATATGGTGTACACGTTTTTTTTAAAGATTTGCTAACTCATCATTAAACACAAAAAATATCACGAGTAGACGAAGATCGTATAAAATCAACAAAGGTACCTATATAACACCACTACAAAAGCACTTGAAAAAAGTTCAATAGGAGAAAAGAAAGTCAGATGCTCGTTGCTCCTTGCTTAACCCTCGAGTACACTGGAATCGTGAATTTTGATTAAAAAAAAGTTACCAAATTACAATATACAAGTTTACAGATTACGGTCATGGGTTCGATATAAATTTTAAATTATTTCGAATCGAATTGAATGTATAATATAACAGTACCTATATAAATAATATACATGCAATTCAATATAGTATAGGGATATATATTATATGTGTATAACTTCTTCAAATTTGTTGAAGACGTAGGTAATAATGTTTCAGTACAAGATAGTGTATACCTATACTGCTGTATTAAACTCTGTTATTTGCCATGTATTCTGTAGGAATCATAAATATCATTCGTGGAAATTAAATATTATTATAAATCCAATTGTACGTATCTTACTACGTATCGTAGTTAATTAAAATTTTTACTATTTTATTTACCTAAAATGTATTTGTAAAAAGTATTTTTTAAATCTAAAATAAATAAAGTTACATTAATTAAATTTTGTAATTCGTTGACACTTGACACTATAGCTGTTATAAAATAGTTCTCGTTTAATAACGTTTATGGTTATAGTTAGATGGAAAGCTTATGAGGAGTGATATTACAGAAACAAATCTTAAGATTTTTTTGTCAAAATAATTAGCTACCTATTAGAGCAATAATGATATTTCAACAAAAATAAGATTTTTAAAATAGGTCTGGTGACCTAGAATATTTTAATTCATCATAACCACTTGTTATAGGACACCTCGTGCCCATATAATAGATGTGTACATACATCATAATTTACTCCATATCGTATATGAAATAGGTATTAATGTATATTAACTAAAAAATATATTATATAAAAAGTTTGATGTTTAAAATATAGACATTTGAAATATATCCTTAGAATTAATTGTCATATCCAAACAGTAATTTTTAAAAAATCATATTGATATCGTTTAAATTAAAAAAATTAAATTTTTAATGTCGTTAAAACGATAGGTCTTATATAAACAGTCATTCTTTTAAAACTAAAAGTACCAAAGGTATTAAGTATTTGAACATATTATGTTAATTATTTTTGAAAATATTGCTATTATTAAAATTCTTATTTATAACGATGACGTCRCCACCGGTGTCATTTGGCTTTWAAAAAAAAATTACGAGCGCTATTAGTAATAATTTTTCTTAGGTTTTAATCAATGTTTGCTTTCGAATGTAATTTTATATTWTCATATATGAATATATTTTTACAAATTTTCTTGGAATCGATAAAAAATATTTTAATATTGTTTTGTTTTTTATTTTATTTTACACAATTTTTAAAGGTATATTGATCAGTACAATTGTTTTAAAAGTGTTGTATTTGAATTAAGAAAAATTATTATTAAATAAATAATTAAAAATCCTATACCTACCTACAAATGAAACAGACAATATTCATCAAAACAATTTTATAAGTAAAGAAAATTAAACTATACATCTATAATACATAAACATTTTTTCTATTGCAGATAAAAAAAAAAAAATATTCAAAAATAAACAGGATGACAACCAATATTCTGACTTCATGTGATTCTAATTCATCTTATAATTTAATAACTTCTAATGGTAAGTATTATAAAATTCAATATACTTGAAGATACAAAAAATAATTGAACTAGATACAACTTTTAAAAAAATAACGTATTTTTAAATAAATATTAAAACATTTTTTTTGTTATTTTTTAATTGCTTAATTATTTGTAATAGATAGCTATTAGCTATTAATGTACTTGAATAATGAGGAACCAATAACTTGTGAATAAATGTTATAAATGTCATGAGTATAATATTTTTACTAGCTGATTTAGAAGTTATCTTATAAATACTATTTACATCATCATATATGTACGTATGTATTATACAACGTGTTCTGTGAGGATTTACCCATTGCGATATTTCCCTAAATAATGGAGACATCAAAATTCTTTTCTTTTTTTTTTATCAATTATCCCGCGGCAACTTAGGCCATTGGCAATTGATTTATTGGTTCTTGGTTTATGGAACGGTAAGGTGTGTTACACGTGGGTGAGTTTTGGCAGAATTTTTATTGGGGCACCCGTAGATTTCTGCCGTGCCCCAGAGTGGGTGATGGCGGCACTTRTTCTTTGGACACCGTGACTTGCCCGGAGAAAAATGTCGCCCGATGGTCGAGGATCGAACCCGGTCCGGCTGAGCCACAACCGACGCGTTAGACCGCTCGGCCACCTCGTCCCCCTCAAAATTCTTATTTGGTAATAAAATTCACAGGGATAAGAACTACAATTATTTCATATTTTAATGTTTTGTTAAAAAAGTTAAAAAATATATTTTTTTATTTAATTATTTCCAAAAAAAATCACTAAAGCCATTTTTGTTAATTTTATGATTTTTTTAATTTCGAGAAAAATTGCGAATTATTTAACACCGTAATGTCAAACATGTGAAACGCCGAGCCCGCGCGTGCTCGTACGGCCGGCCGAACGCTTTCAGTGTGCATAGTTATTTTATTTCTTAAAAACTGGAAAAAATATTAAAAATCAGGAAATTAATGAAAATAAAATTTTGAAACGTCAATATTTTCAAAAAAATAAACTCTAAAAAAATGGCTGTCTTTAATTTTTTTTTTTTAATATATTTTCAAATTTTTACCAAAACATTAAAACAAATTTAAAAATGAAATAATTAAAGCGTCTCTGTGATATAACCCCTATGAGTCATAAAACCAGAATTTTTATACATCTCCATTATTTCGTGAGATATTGCAATGGGTAAATCTTCGCGGGACACTATTATATAATATACTAATCAATAATTATTTTTCTGAAGATTTATCTATATTCAATCATATAATAACAGATGCATATTATAATTATTTTCAATGGCAAAACTAAAAAATAATTTCAGGGGAATAGGGGATCATAGTTTTAATATAAATATATAAATAAGTGGATTAGTGGCTGTCATTCAAAAAGACAAGTCAAAAAAACAAGATTTGGGAGAGGATGATGACCACCATAATATTTTCTACTTACAAACATCATACATTTTTTTTTTTTATCTTGAAATTATACATTTCTGATTTTAAAATTAAGTATATCAATATTACATTTATATATGTATATTATATATATTAATATTTTAATACATTTAACACTGTTAACATAATTAATAATTAAATTATTTAAATTTATACGATTTTTAAAATTAATTTATGATTTATTAAGTGTTAAGTAGGTATTTAAGTATAAAGTATTGTTTCAGATAAATTCTGTAATTGGTTTTATGATGAAAAAACGTGTTGGCCAATTGCAAAAGCCAACACCAATGTATCCCAACCATGTCCAAAAGAACAAGGATTTGACAAAATGAGTACTTATTATAATAATTTTTTTATTTTATATATAATGAATATCTGCTTTAAAATATATACATTTCTTTTCTTTAGTTATAACAGTATTAAATATTAGTTTAAGTTTTAAATTTCGATCCTTAATTTGATTATAAATAAAATACAACTATCAAAATTATTAAATTGTGTTTTACAATCTGGACAAAAAATAAATTAAACTAATCAGATCCAAATTATAATTTATTTAACTGTCAGAAGATAGTAATAAAAATCATTCACAGCGATGTATTTACTATAAAATATTAGTAATAACTAGATAAGTAATCACCACATTACTATTCAAAATTTAGAACATTTTTTCTATMTACTTAAAATGTACAAAATATGTCAATTGGCTATGATTATTGATTTCACTATGCTTTTCCTTTTGTATGCCTATAGCAATAAATAATACACGTTGACTGCCATGTGACCGCCGGCGGTCACTTGTTATGTATTATCGGTAAGCCAGGCATGTTTTTCAGTGTCATTCCAAATTTGTAATCACTATTTTATTTAAAAAAATAAAAAATAAAAAATATGTTCACTAAATAGAAAATTTTTTAATRATTCTTGCTATGCCACCGTGCTTTTTTAGAGCATGATTGTAATGCCATGAATCATTTAATAATATAAAACCTTATTTATTTATGATCACCGACGGTCGTGTGGTGTGGTAGTAATGATTAACTATGTATGGCCACAAACATAGAAAATTTGAGAATTACAAATGACCACCGGCGATCACATGGCAGTCAACGTGTCAAAATTAAAATTATGTGTTTGGACTTAAATCCATTTTATACAATTTTAGAGATGGCCTATAAATACTGTACTGAAGATGGAAGTTGGGAAAATGTAACGAATTTATTTGGATCAACCGATTATAGTAGTTGTTATACTCCAGAACTAACGGAAATGCTAGAAAAACTTGGATCAGACTACGATACAAAAGTAAAAATCATGTAATTTGTTGTTAATAATACCATTAAGTTATTTCAAGTGTATTTGTTATTTAAGCGAAAAATTAACATTGCTATTAACACTGGAGTAATTGAAGTAGTCGGGTGCCTTGTATCGATTATTTCATTGATCATATCATTATGCATTTTCATCAGGCACAAGTAAGTATAATATTTATATAATTTGCTTTAAGAATATACATAGTTATTGGTTTTTAGATTTAAGTTATACTATTATAATATAGTAAATAATAATCAAGGGTACGAAAACCACGCCAGAAGATTAATTATACATCTTGATGACATTCTAAATTTCGTATTTTAAGACTTAAGATTTTACTCCGAAACCATTCACATGCTATATACCTACCCATTATAGTCTAATAATTAATTAATAAAATTTGGAATATTAGTATATGTATATCTATTGTAGAATATGAACTTAAAGTCTTTAAAAACGACCTCGTAACCGAAGTATAGATCRTAATATGTGATATACACAATACTGGAACTAGGTCCGTAGTTTGACGTTGTCTTTTAAAATCGCTTTAAAATTTAATACACACGAATACCTATAATATATGTCTAGATATCATTGGTAACAATAGTGATGCGGCACGTCAAAAAATATATATAGGTACGTATATAATATTGTTGGAAAATTTTAYTTGGCCGTTAAACTCACTAAATGATATTTTTTCGAGGTTTCGATCGCCATGCTAAGGAGAAGGTACTACTAAAAAAAACTTTGAGAACCACTGGTTGAACCACTCTGTAATATAGATAATAAACTAATAAAGTAATAACTATTCAGAAACGGATGAAGTGGGTGCTAGCTCCCCTTTCCTCCCGGACTTAGGTATATTAATTCTTACCACAGGATACTAACATTGATAACAAATACAAWAGATACTGTAATTATAATTAATTTATATTGTATTTGGGTTGTAACAAAATTGTTTAGCCTTCTAGAACGGTGCTCTGAATTCGTGCATGTATCTATTAACAAAGGAACTTCAGGTCCTAGACATCTAAGGGTGTTTACGACATAAATAGTGTATCATTATATATATGGTACCATTGGTACCTACCTAAATAATCTAAAATCGTTACCTTAATCATACAAATTGTAATAATGCACAAATTTGACACTATAATAAATGAACAGCAACGAGTGTCATGTTAAGACACGGTCGTGTTACTGTAAAATAACATTAGGGTGAACAAATTATATGTATGTACATAATCAACTCAGATTTTTAATCAATTTTAATTAGCTAAATTTTAAAATAAAACATAAAAGACACGTAACAATAATAACATATTTATCWATATGTATAGTGCTAAGATTTACACAAAATGGTCTGKATGATGTTGATGGATTTAAATGAGAATGAGAATCGTTTCAATTTATGTTTAACGTGATTTTTTTTATTAAACTTTAAAATTGATCACTTTCGGAAAATTTAAAAAGTATAATTATTAATTAACAGTGAAGTGTAGAGTATATACTACATAATAATATAGACCATGGCATTAAATTACTAATAAAATGARGTGGTGCTGGAACTTTATCAACTTTAAAACTGTTCTAAAATATGTTAACCGAAAAAATGCATTAAAAAAACAATCATTGCAGTAAAACTAAATATAGGTTTTTCACTTGACACTTCGCTTTCGATGTTTTAAACTTTGAACTCTCTACGATTTTATAGATATAATAGGATATGTATTGGTGTAAGGACTAAACATTTATGTTATATTTTAAAAATTGTAAAGAATTCTTTAAATAATATTAGGTGTTCATTATATAAGTCATTTCTAAATAATTGATTTTTTATGTAGTCTTGAATTTTAATATTCTTAATTATGTATGTGGAATAGGTAATATAAATTAGGTACCTATATACTCTATTAATTCTTTTTATTAATACAGTTATTTATTTCTGCAGAGGTTTATTGGAACAGAGGTTCAAGATACATATGAATTTATTTGTTGCTTTATCATTACAAATGTTCATTAAATTAATTTTAAATATTGATAAACTGGACTTATTTAAAACTAAAAAATACCGTTCAAATGTAACTTGTCTTGTGGACTGTAACAACCAAATACGTTTAGTAAAAGATGAAGACAATTGGTTTTTTGGAATTATGTACACGGTACGTTTTAAAAATATAGTGATTTAATTAAAATTATATTAACAGCGTGTTTTTTTAGCCAATAATTTGTGAGGGTATTCTAGTCATATTGGAGTGGTCTAAAACTGCTAGTTTTATGTGGATGTACAACGAAGGAGTATATCTGTATAGAATAATAAAATCCAGAGTTTTAAGAATAAACTCAATAAATTTTCGAATGTATCTATTTGGTTGGGGTGTACCAGCTTTGATGACATCTGTATGGTTGTTGGTAACAATGGTTTACTACAAAAAGTCATCTAGTGTCTGTTGGTGGGGCTACAGCTTGTTACCATTTTTTTGGATTCTTGAAGGACCCCGCTTGATCATTATCGTAGTAAGTTTAGGTTTAACAAGTCCTAAATAGCTCATTAATCAAATTTATTATTTACTTAATGAAAATGTATTATATTTTATACTTTTTAACATTAGGTAAATTTCATAATATTAATTATTGTATTGAGAGAGTTGTTGAAGAAAATTAAATCAAAATTATCACCGTCAAACGAGTTGGATATCATAAGGTACTAATTTTTTTATACGTAAACTTTAATATGATTTGACAAAATATCAATGTTTATGTCTACAATATTATTTTATGTATTTTGTACTAGAAAAGTATCCAAAGCAGCCATAGCTCTTGTCCCTTTACTTGGGATTACAAACTTTATATTAGTTATATTACCTGAACCGCATTCAAAAAGTCCTGAATTATTTGCTTTCTGGTCATATTCCGCACATATATTACACTCGTTCCAGGGCTTAATGGTGTCGATATTATATTGTTTTATGAATAAAGAAGTAAGTATGCTAAACCATAAGAAAATAATAAGCACCTACATATAATTACATATAATAAGGTTACAAATTATTTACATCATTCATAAATCATAATAATTAAGATTCACAACTAATTTAGTTTTTAAACATATTTAATAAAAATAAATAAACTATCGATTTTACAGTTCCATCGTGTTATGTTGTATGTAATGTAGAACTTAATAAACTAATTAAATTTTT